CTTTTTCCGAGTTATTTGTACTTTCTAAGATTATCTAGACACCACTGACAAACGGTGAAGGAAAACATCGCGAGGAAACCTGGGCTTATAATTTCTAATTGTAAGTTTGAAATCGCCAACCCGCATTGAGCAAGCGTGGTGGTTGATGCTCAAACCTTCTCCGTGTGAGAAGAGGCTTGTGGCTTTTAGTCAGTAAGAGTCTGACACTCGCTCGCGCCTCACCCAGGCGGGAGAAGCATTCGATGATTTTCTCCCCATAAAAAAACTGTGTTATGTACTTCAGTGTAAATGACCTAGTTCCGTTACAGTTACATCATAACATCATTAGAAGTCATTAGTGCAGTGTGTCTGTGTGTTCCCAGCGCAGTGTAGCGCCCGCGCCGTGCCGCGGTCAAGTTCACCCGCTACTGGCGCTACTCGCTTGTGTAACCGCAGTACGTTACTGCTACCACCGCAAACACTACGTAACATCACGCCTCGGCTACTGAAGGGCAAGGTTCGGGTAGCAGTACCTCCTACACTAGACAACTTGATAGAGACGATGGACAAGCATTAATGAATATTTGAGCTAAGAAATATGGATAGTCCGATGAGGGGATGGAAGAAGATGTTGAGCAGACTATAAGTAACTTGGGATAACAGTAAAAATAACTGGCAAATAAAAAAATAATAAGCAAAGCAGGAAGGATTTCCTTGGATAACACATTTGCGTTAACAACTGGAACTGGATCAATGCCTGACGCTAATAAAATAAGAAGCTTTGTGCCATTGGGAACATTGGAAAACACTAGACGAAGATTGCCATAGTCTCTGCCTAACCCCATGGCAGACAGGCGTGAGGTTATGTATAACAGAAGATTTTCTGAATTTCCCTCAAGAATCAGAATATCGATATCCGAAAAAACATTTAATGTCTGTAGGAAAGCGCTGTAATGTCTATCGCCGGAGTTGCGGGGAGCCAGTGGATGTAGGGGGCGAGATGTCATACGATGTGCAGGACTAAGGGGGAGGCGTTAGTCCAGAAGTGGACGCCTTCCGCCTGTTGATGATGAAGTCGCTGACAAATGCTAGCTTTAATACAACAGAATCGAGACAGTATAATATCGAAAAGTAGTCATCGCGCAAAACCGAGGCGAATCACTAGTATTAAATAATTTTTATTGCTAAAACATTTTGGCAGACATTAGCGCATGTAAACGTACATTAGATGTATTACATTAGCTCGACAGGTGTGTGGGTGCCGGAGAAAGGCCCGCAGATGTGGAGTGCGCGGAAATAGGAAGTGTACAGTCATGACGAGCACTAATTGTTCATTACTGGCGCAATTAGCGGAGACTATCTCTGTACGAGTGGAGTGCACTGATCTCTCTGTGTTCCTGCCACGGAGGGGGCAGGAAGTATAAGCCAGGTGGAGCATCACGTCGACGAGATTTAGAGGGAAATTCGAATGAAGAACCAACGTATTGTAAGTCTTCTAAAAGATGGAGCGACGGAAAAATCATGTGTTTAGTAGAATTCTAAAGATAGATAATGATAATGGGAGCTGTTAAGTCATATGACCTCATCAAATCATCAACAGCCTATAAGTGTCTACTGCCGCCCAAAGCCCTCGTGTCACACGGAGAAGGTTTTGAGCATTAATCACCACCGCGGTGGCTCAATGCGAGTTGACGATTTCAAACTTATAATTAGAAATTGTAAGCCCAGGTATCCTGACACTGTTTTCCTCCACCGTTTGTCAGTGGTGTCTAGATAATCTTAGAAAGACCTGCACATGACATATGACTTGCTTACTGTTATTATTTGTGTGTGTGTCCTACACTGTTTTTGGGATTATTACAATACAGGGTATAGAAATAACAGGGGTATATCCTTGATGGCATTAGGTATGTACAATACAAAACATAGGTATAACGCCAAGTTTTCATGTCCTATTTTACACCATGCCATTGGTTTCAATGACGTATACAAAGACAATATAATATGACATACGGCCGCTCCGGGCAACACACCCCGCACCCAGTCGCCCAGCAGCGTAAGACATCCATCACTGTAACCACAGCGCCACTGAGCCGACAAACTGGTTTCCCTTTCAGCACCACATACAATAGGTATACACAACATGTGTGTGTGTGTGTGTGTCTGTGTGTTTATGTAAATATATGTAAATGTGGGAGAAAGTGTCAAGTTGTTGGTGTAGTGAGACGAGCAGCGCGGAGATATGTGATGGTGTAGTTGTAGGACTAGAGGTGGAGACTGAGTCGGATCGGAAGTAAAGTCCGAGGTACCGAATGTGTGATAATACTTGTAATCGATGCTTCCATTATTAGGGTAGTAGACATAACATAACATAACATCACGCCTTTTATCCCCGAAGGGGTAGGCAGAGGTGCACATTATGCCACTGTACAATGTAACACCCACTTTTCACTATTTATGTTATGAGTCCCATGTAATAGGGAGTGAGTCTATTGCCATATACCGGGCACATTTTCAGACTCCGTGCTACTACTGAGATTTTTTTTTTTTTAAATACCCCTGTAATACTTTGCCCGACCCGGGAATCGAACCCCAGACCCCTTGCGCGGCAGTCGCACTTGCGACCACTTGGCCAACGAGGCAGTAGGGCAGTAGACAGTGTATGACAATTAAAAATGTAATTAGTCCATCAGTTAGATAATGAAAGAATATTACACACGTACCTATTTGTTTATTTTGTCGTATAAGAAAACAATACTTAGATAAATCGGAGTTAAGTTTAGTAGTGGGGGGTCGTTACGTGACGCTACCCTGTACAATGTGTAGCGGAGAACCTAACGGGTAACCGGGGCTCCGGCTCGACGTGCAGGAGAAGGAACGGGGTGGTTTTTAGTCAGTGAGAGTCTGACACTCCCTCCCGCCTCACCCAGGCGGGGGCAGTCATTCGATGATTCTCCCCCAAAAAAAAAAAAAAAAAAAAACCTGTACAATGTAGTAAATCGTGACGTCCCACGATATTTCAAATCAATATATCGTCGAAAGTATTTAATTTTGTAAGAAAATAATAAATACGTGTGTAATGTTTTTGAAACAATCTACCAGAAACAATAAAATAAAATTTAGCCTACTACCATATTGGTTTTTTAAACCTAATGTCAATGTTACGCAGCTTCTGTGTAAAAGAGTATTTTATCATTCGGTTTGATAGGACAACGTCATTAATGTTAGATGGAGTATTTTTAACATTAGTCGTTAGCTAAGATTATCTAGACACCACTGACAAACGGTGAAGGAAAACATCGTGAGGAAACCTGGGCTTATAATTTCTAATTATAAGTTTGAAATCGCCAACCCGCATTGAGCAAGCGTGGTGGTTAATGCTCAAACCTTCTCCGTGTGAGAAGCCTTGGGTCAGCACTTATAGACTGTACATCAGCCACCGGGAACATTGATCAGTAGAGTATGGCACGAATATTGATACATTTCCCGATTCTTCCAATTTGAGCAAACAAGGGTGGAAGTCGGTATGTATGCAGCGCGTGGCTCGCACGCGTGGTATTCATGAGGTAGCTACTAGGTACTAAGTTCAGCTATAAACCTGTACAGCAATATTATATCACTAGCTGACCCGGAAATCTTCGTAGGTACAACTTCGTAGAAAATTATTTTCTCACCTTTTAAAACTTCTATGGACTTCTACGAATATTCCAAGACCAAAATTATCCAAATCAGTTCAAAAAATGAAATTCCGTCATAATACGTACTCATTGATCATGGCCAAGGCGGTCAATATATACCTATCCACTGTTCACCAGGTACGTACTTGTAAACTTATATGTATAATACTAGAGACTCACCCCAGCTTCGCACGGGTGCAATATGCACCTATTTTATATACCTTCCTTAAGAATCACTCTTTGTATTAAAAAAAACGCATCAAAATCCGTTGCGTAGTTTTAAAGATGTAAGCATACATAGGGAGGGGACAGACAGACGGCGGATAGCGACTTTGTTTTATATATCATGTAGACTCATGTAGTGATGTATTTAACGAGCTTATAAACTACAATTTGCGGCCCACTTTTCAGCGTTTTTTATGGGATACGCCGGTAAACTAGCAGACAGATCACCCCATGGTAAGCAATCGGCGTCGCCCATGGACATCCAGATCACTAGAGGCGTTACAAGTGCGTTAAGGGCCCTTAGGCTATTAGGAGTTTGAGAATTGTTGAGGATTCAGCGATAACCAAGGGGGAGGAGTATTTGGGCCTCCGGTAACCTCACTCACGCGACGTGAAACAACGCAAGCGTTGTTTCTTACGTGAGTAGAGCAATTCTTTTGGATATTTCAAGGGATTTGTGAAGTATTGAGTATCACGGGTAAAGCTGCGGGCAGATGTATGTATGTACTATGTACTTTTAAAGTGAGATGAGCGCTCATTCATTATAATGTAGTAAATGTATAATGGCGTCCAGCTGCGAGCTTTCAAATATCCGAGTGATGTGATTCATTCAAGTAATAGCTCGCACATACTTATGCTAAGTACGGACGTAATTAAACAATTTACCAACTCATTTACATTCAAACATTCGCCGAGTTGTAACTTTCTATGGTGGAGGAATTTCAGTAATTTAATAATTATTATACAATTACAATAATGGACGGTATATGTACATAATTATGCTTAATATTAGATATTATTTAATTCTAAATAATCAAATCACGCTACTTTATGAAGATTTCGACCGTCACATGAAAAAAAGCCGGAAAAACAAACGATTTCTTTAAAATAATTTGTTCAATAGATACAGTAAAATGTTATGAATGATATTAAGTACCTTCATTGATTTCGTAAAATCAAAAATTTATTTGAGAGAAGAATCAAAAAGCTCGCATTCAACGTCAAAGGCGTAAATTTAAAGATATTTTTCAATTTCTGTAGTTGAAATCTGTAATAAAAAATACCTACGTGCACTTATTTCAAGTTAATTGCTAAAGTAAAAGCGTTCTATAGACTCACCATGTTGTCCCGCGAGCAGAGGTCACGATATTATCCCACAGTGTCACACGCGGTCGCGGGGCACACTCGCGACATATAATAACAATATTATTTAATAATAATTAACAGTAAGTATCGTATAACAATTAAATTATAATAATTCGTCGCGACAATTAAATACACTCGACACACGACGCGCACCTCACTGCATTCCGCGGGAAAATTATTTATGACTTTATTTTTTTAATTTATTTTTTTATTCACGTTTAAATCTGGCACAGGTATGCGTTCGTTTAGCCTGTCCTGCACGGAGGTTGTATATTATAATTGACTATGTGCGCGTGTATTTGTGAGGAGTGAAGGATTCGGACTGAGTTCACGTCTCCGGCGGAGATCTCGTGAAGAAAGTGGGCTGCCACTTCCTATACAGCCTGAGATGAAAGCACGCGACTTGTTACCTTGTGTGTAGAGGTTACGGTGCAGATTGCAGTGGTTGGGTGGGGGAAGAGGGGCTTCAAAAGCTCGAGCGTGTAATATTAGTTTAGAAAATAGTTTGAACTCGCGCATAATTTTATAATTCATAGACAAATTGACTTTGGAGATATTTTTACTTAACTTTACGTAACACACACATGTGGATGTGGACTGTGTACTGTGTGAGGTGCCAGCGCGTGCCAGTGTTGGTGACCTGAATTTCTGAACATCAAGTCTCTGGTTCTATTCCCAGGTCGGGCAATATTGTCATTGTTTTAGAGCTCCAAAGGTTAAAATGCCAAATGCGAGGTTTCGTACTCGATTCCCGAGTCAGAAATGACATTCTTGAAATTTTTGGTTTCGCGTTCACTATTATTATCATATTTGAGATGCCTAGTTCGGATTCTGATAATACATAATTATGCAGATATTGAAATGAATGAACATTCTGTTGGTCTGTATAATTAATGAATGAAAACACATTTATTGTGGTTTTATAATTATATATCTGCAAATTATACAATCAGTTGTTTGAATAATTTCCGTATTTCAGTTGTTTTGGTACTCGCTGTGTGTTGCCGGAACATTCCGTAGACATATACATATTATGTATTGTGACGTATTGTGACGTATTATATCAGACTGCCTCGTTGGCTGAGTGGTCGCAAGTGCGACTGCCGGACATGGGGTCTCGGGTACGATTCCCGGGTCGGGCAAAGTATTACTGGGTTTTTAAAAATCTCAGTAGCAGCACGTACGGAGTCTGGAAATTTGCCCGGTATATGACAATAAGCTCACCCCCTATACACGGGACTCATAACATAAATAGTGAAAAATAGGTGTTAAATTGTACAGTGGCATTAAGTGCCGAACTACCCCTTCGGGAATAAAAGGCGTGATGTTATGTTATGTTATTATATCTAATCTGTGGCTATCAATAATGCATCTCTCTCCCACATAGTAGTATTCACAGACCTTTGGTATGTTTGATGCCTCTATGGGAACATCAGTTTTGGATTGTACGCTGTATCGTTGGTCGAGTTATTTCAAGCGCGACTGTTAAGCAAATGGTTTCGTGTCGATTCAATAAGTACCCTAATGGCGCGGAATGGTGTAGTGACTACTAGTGACCACAACAATCCCCATCAGTCCTCAAACTCCTAATCCCCAAAAGCAGGTAACGCACTTGTAACGCCTCTGGTGTTGCGGGTGTCTGGGCGGCACCGATTGCTTAACATCCGTCAGCTCGTTTACCGGCTTATCCCATTAAAAATTGGGAATGGTTCAGGGCTCAGGAGATGAACTGCTTGGGATTGCGACACACAACGTGACTGATGCAAAGTGGGGGCTGTTACCATATTGACGCAGGTTTCGCAATGTCATCACACCATCACACCCAGTAGGTACCTAGTATAGTACGCGCCCAATGATTACATTCCTGGCATTACGTCACTGACGGACGACAGGTGACAGGTGACGTAACGCCATATGTCACTGTTTGACAGATTTCTCTCTGACCGCGCAATGTATTGACACTGCACTGTGGGACAATGTGTCTGTGTACTCGTGTAATAAAAGTGGGTCGTTGACGAGTGCGGTCCATTTCCGCATCGCATCGGACATAATATTGAGGCTTTACAAACAGATGTTACATACTGAGGGCGGCTGAAGTCGCATTAGGTAAGAGTAAGACGCATTGACACGTAATATCAGAGAGGATGGAAAGAATGTACCTAGAGGCTTTTTGCTCTCATCCAGCGGTGGTGTGATTGTTGATGATGACGCGGGCGAGCACTGGGCTGGCTGCTCGACCGGAGTGATACAAGAGCTACAAGCTGGCGTGAAGCAACGGTTGCATTGTTTCACCATGTGAGGGTATCGAAGGTACAATTTTCACGCTATTCTCAAATCGACAATGCACTATAACTCCTTTAGTGTTGCCATCAGGTGTAGCTACCGTCTGTTTGTTTAAACTGTCAAATACCAAGCGGTCACCGGTGACCGCAACCTATTGTTCTATAATTGTGTCTGCAAAACCGGTACTCGACGAGTTAATAGTGCACGTCACCCGCGATTGCTGAATAAGTAATATGTGTGCGTATGTGTTGTGGTGTATCTAATTTAAGTGCTTTTGTGTAGAGGTCGGGGTGGCTCAAAGGTGTAAGACACCTGCTTCTCATGCATGAGGGTGCGGGTTCGAAATCTACCAATTGCAAGTACCAATGTGACATTTTTCCAGTTATTATGTACTTTCTAAGATTATCTAGACACCACTGACAAACGGTGAAGGAAAACATCATGAGGAAACCTGGGCTTATAACTTCTAATTATTATAAGTTTGAAATCGCCAATTCGCACTGAGCAAGCGTGGTGGTTAATGCTCAATCCTTCTCCGTGTGAGAAGAGGGTTTTGCTCAGCAGCGGACACTTATAGGCTGTTGATGTGTGTGCGTGTAATTCTCAACAATGTGTGGTCTCGGTATTATATTAGCTGTAACTATGTCCTATCCTAACGTATGTTTTACATCAACAGTCCTTGACCATCCAGTGCTGAACTATAGAGTCTCTATTACACTTTTCATAGTTTCATAAAATACCTACATCAAAAAATATAGCCCCCACTCAGTCAGCGTTACATTCGTACAGAGTCCACCCCGAGCAGCCCCGGCGCCGGGCGCAGCACGATGACATCAAGTTGTCCACTGACAAATAGAATGATATGCGACTGCCGGCTATTGTTGCAGGTTTAATGAGACTAGTAGAGGTGACTGAGGCCGAACCAAGGAGTCAGAAACACGTCATCACGGCCGGACCTTCGCTTTCATCAGAGTGAGCAGTGACCAGTATATGTTGAACCGCGAGGGTGTTCGAAACGCTTATTTGACATAACAATGAGAAAGGCCTTGCTATCATATTAGGTGATTGGTCATCGTACATTGTTGTAGTGTCCCCGTTTAATACGAATTGTGGATCATTTTGTTGTTGATGACATTCTCAACAATAGCAGTAAGTGTGGAAACTGGTTGCTTAGTGTATGCCGTCCATGATAATTAGTTTGTTTCTTATTTCATAGATAACTACCGAATAATAGGCACAATAAAACGAGTGCCTTTGCCAGTTCCATTGTAAAACCACAGGCGTAGTGTTTAGCGTAACAATCTTTCAACAGAGTATACTTATTTGTCGTCAAACAAAAGAATACAGGTTTATTTTGCGTTAAAAATTAAAAAATAACCTAATAGCTTTATTATTTCACATTATCGCAGGACAATGTCCCGCGGTCCTACTAAGGCTGGTCGTTGCGTGACAAATAAATGTCCATGTTTGACAGATCATTAAGATGGCGTCACTCGCGCCAAAATATTGACAGCTGAGAGAAAGCGAAGGCACATCCGCATACAGCCAAGTAGTCGCCGCCGTATTTACTAATATCGGAGGAATGCGACACACTTCGTGATGAATGAGTAGAGCGACACCGCGGGACGAGCTAGTATTGTATTGTGTAATTATGTGGACAATGAGGACCTTCACATCGCAGCGTTTGGAGTTCCACAGACTATACACAAAATACTCAGGATACTAAGGTATCTAAATAGCTAGTACCTACCTATCAAGATTGCTATTGGATACAAGTAGTGAGATGTCGTTTGACGTGGAGGACTGAGAGGCAAGCCATTCCTTTCGGGAGCTGCAGACAACCTAGCAGGTTGCCGGGACTCTGAGTCTAAGCCGGAGTAGCAACGCGGTGGTTTTTAGTCAAACAGTTTGACACTCCGACTCGCCTCACACAATGCGAGAGAAGTAATGTTCAAACCTTCAAGAAAAGAGCGTATTCCTTTTGAGGAGGCTGTCAACCCACCTGTGAGTGACTCCTCTGGTGTTGCGGGTGTCCATGGGCGGCGCTGATCGCTTACCATCAGGTGATCCATGTGCTCGTTTGCCTCCTATTCCATAAAAAAGTAACTGGATGACTGTCCGGCTCAAAATAAAAGGGACACAACTATATTTATTTGAAGATGTTCTACGGAACCTTTTACGTACAGTGATAGGAAAGTGACAATTAGCTTCTAATTGGATACTCTACAGCAGAGATGGCGAACCGCTGGACGCGTGCCTATGATAGCACCCAACACAATATTTTGGGCATGTCATAATGTAATGTAGCATAACATCACGCCTTTTACCCCCGAAGGGATAGACAGAGGTACACATTACGACACTTAATGCCACTGTACAATGTAACACCCACTTTTCACTATTTATGTTACGAGTCCCATGTAATAGGAGGCTAGTCTATTGCCATATACCGGGCACAATTCCAAACTCCGTGCTACTACCGAGATTTTTTAAAAAAACCTAGTAGGTAATACTTTTCCTGACCCGGCAATCGAACCCGAGACCCCTTGCCCGGCAGCCGCACTTGCGACCACTCGGTCAACGAGGCACTCATTAGGCACGTCCACGTCATTGATGATGAAATCTGTCAGATGTCGTTTTTTACCCGACTGCCAAAGAAGGAGGGTAATGTTTTTCGAGTGTATGTAAGTATGTATGTATGTCTTTTCCTTTGTGACCACCTGTAGCCTAAACGGCTTGATGGATTTTGATGTATGAGGTATCGTTAGATTTGTCTTGATTACGGGAGTGTCATAGGATACATTTTATCCTAAAAGTCCCACGGGATAAAGACATAATAATATTTTTTCTAAATTTCCCTTTAAAAAAATATGTATGCGGTATCATTAGATTCATTTCAATCACGGGAGTAATTAATATAGGATACGTTTTTTCTCAAAATTCCCACGGGAACATGTTAATTCTGCGTCAACGCAAAGCAACTCATGCGTTAGCAAGCAAAAAGATAGGGCGTGGCCTGGCATGC